AACCTCCCTAGATTTTGAAAGACTGCTCTTTTGACATCTCACTGTCTATGCACAAGAAAGAAGATACTCCAAATTACGTCTTCAGGAATCTAATAGCTGAAAAAACCAAAGTATTGGACAATACTGGTTGGAATCTTTTGAACACAGACGGCTCAAAATCTCCTGGTCTGCCTCCTGTTTATGCGGTGGTAGATGCTACAGGACGGGTTCTTCTCAACCACATATTTCTCGAAAGTACTTCAACTTTCATAACCGAAGCCAGAGCTATCCTTCACGCTGCCAACCTTGCCCATAAAAACAAACTCAAAACCGTCATTATTACCGACAGTTTGTCTGTATTACAAGCTGTTCGGAATCCTTCGATTTCGAGATGGAGCACCATCAACAAATTAAGGAATCTAATTAGTACACCCGACGGAAAAATTAAAATGTTATGGGTACCAAGTCACATCGGTTTACTGGGAAATGAGCAGGCTAATCGAGCGGCAAAGTATGCTGCTTCTGCTCCTCTAATTATGGATGATGTCATGGAAAAGTTGGATCTTCAAAGATACATTGGAAGAAAAGTTAAAGAGAAAATTGCAGAAGGAAATTTACAATACCATCATCAACACTACTCTTGCATTAACCCTCAATTAACTCCACCTCTATATCCAACAAATGTTGAGAAAACCAAGATGCAAACATTCTCGAGAATTCGCCTTGGTCATACAATTGCAACTCACCAATGAATCCTGAAGAAGTCTTCTTCCCCAATCTGCTGTTGTGGACAAACTCTTACTATAAAGCACATTCTCTGCGACTGCCTCAACTTTTCCTTGGCTAGAAGTATTGCATTTGGAACGATTAACCCTTTGAACATTCTACAATCATCTTCAGAACAGAATATCAATTCTATATATTACTTTATTAATACTACTAAGCTCATTATCTAATGTACATTTTATTATTCTTTTTTATAATTAGAGCCGATAGCCTGTGTTGCTAGTGCTCAATGTCTTTTTTTAGTCTAAGAATTCATTTCATTAGTCTAAAATTAAAATAATAATAATAATATATTTAGTCTTTGGTTTCTTGTTTTGGTTGACCCCTTAATAAGCTTTCTGAGTTTTACTGTGATTGTCGCTCCCGTATACCAAATTTGATATAAAGTGACAAAAACTATGATAGGAAGACACATTGTTTTGACCAGTCACAATGTCCAGCATAAGGCGGTTAGTCTCAAATTATCCAAGGCAAGTAGATCAAGGCTTTTGCATTAAATAAAAGAAAAGTGCACAAAATTTCAATATTTTTGATGGTCATATGTGACACGCATAGAATTTAAGAAGCATGAATGAATTATTTCAATGAAACGATTACAAAGGAAACACATACAAACACTTCGCCGAAAAACACATATGCCATAACCTTTTTTGTCTAAGATGAATTGCTGAAGACGCCAATAACGAAAGTTAAATTGCAAACTTTATATTGTGAAATGACGAATGACCCCAAACTCTTTCTTTAACAGGTAAGAACACTATAGCGGGTCCCGATCCACCATTAAATAACCTACCAACCTACAGTTATTCGGTTATCGGCTATTCACAATAAGGTGTTATATGGCTAGTGATAGAAAATGTGGTCCATTTTCGATAGCTGCCGTCCTTGGGCTAAAGCACGCGAAGTACAAAATTTTATCAAAATATCTTAAGAATTGAACACAAGAAAGCTAGACAGGCCGAGAGAGAGACATAAGCTAAGATGGACGCAAAACGTGATTCTGAATCGATTGGTATAATAATAAGATCTCAAGTTCTTCTGGGTGTAGCATAGATCCGCATAAATTTGATGTAGTTTTGTAGCACAAGTGACGTGGGGTAAAAAACATTATCTCCTAAGTGAACATTTAAATATTCTAACTCGGATAGGGAATAAAAAAAAAATAAGTGAAGCAAATGCTGTGGTAAACGGGAGATGATATTTTAAAGATATTTTAAGGAAACTAAGCTTTAATATAACGCATTAAAGCAGAATAAGCGACAGCAGCATTAGTATAGAGAGCCGAAATTTGGTATCATTTAGCAAACAAATAAAATATAAATCAACTTTTATTAGTTTTTTGCACTTTTTATTTTTTGTTTTTCTATGGGGACGTAGGGCTGCGAACAGTTTAAAAATATGACCAACAATCAATGGAAAATAACTAACTATATTAGTTGGTTCGATTTATTAATAAAGCTACTAAAAAAAGTATTAAATTTTATAATTGTGCATAAAACACTCACCTAAAGGAATTCACTTTCTTTAATGACTCTATAAATAACAAGAATTATAAACTGGTTTTTTTCTTTTTTTTTCGTCAAGACTCTTTGTTGTTTTTTATTGTTCATGTAATTCGTTTATTATAGAAATCAAAAAAAAAAAAAAAGAATTAAAGAAAGTAAAAAAGAATTAATATATAAGAAGAATAAATTTAAAGAGAGAAGAGTTGAAGTAAAATGAATATAAATTCAATATTATTACTTATTAATTACATATAAATACGTATTAAGTAATCTATATATGATTTTTCGTTTGTAGATAAGTGAATGATTTTATGTAGTTATGAGCATGTATGCATATGAATGTAATTTTACTGAATATTTTCTTTAACGTACACATATGTACACATACAATTGTAATTGGTAGCGATGATGGTAGTGGTGTTGTTTGTAGCATAAGTAAATTTAGAATATATGTGTGCATGTAATGTATGTATGTATATACTCGTATATATTAACGTTGAAATAATTGTTTACTTTTTTTCTAAGATACTGATAACTAATGAGAGTTTCTGAAAATGGCAAACTTATGATGATTTTCACTTTCAATTAAAAACAAAATTTGAAAATTATTTTTAAAAAAGGAAAAGAATTTATTTTAAACAATTTAAAAATATACACAAACTGTAAGGTGTTGATTGGTATTATTTCGCTTTGGAAAAAGATTAAAGAAATAGTTTAAATAAGCCTGCTGTTCAATTTCTTTCGGTATCGCTTGTGATTTTTCTTCTTGTTGTTATTTATGTTTGTAAAGTGATGAAAAAATAAAATTTTCTTATTGCGATTTCGTCTCTTTGCGTTCGCGTGTTTTTCTCTTGTTTCCAGGATTTTTGTTTCCATATTAATCTTCAACTATTTTCTAGATTTTATATATATATATATATATATACCTATATATATATCTACATATATATATATAAATAAATATATACATATATATATAAATAAATACATATATATACATATATATAAATAAATATATATATACATGTATATATATATTTTTTTGTTTTTATACGCTTCTCTTTAAATGAATTTCGTCCGTTCCATATATTTTACTATTAAGTTTAAATACATATTCAATTATACTAACCCAACTCCAATAATATCGCAATTGTAAACTTTCTCTTCTCTCATAATCATTTTGCATTGGGTTGTATATGTATAATCAGCCGTTTCTTTATATAATATTCTTTACCAATTTCTTTTATTTCCTCTTTCCTTTTCTTCCACTGTATTTTACTCGCTCTCTATCTATCTAAATATTTCTGATCATGTTACTAATATTCACTTCAGTCTTCGACGGCATATTTTTGAGTCCATTCACGTGCATTCTTAATGGCCTCAGCCTCATTCACTTTCCATAATTCAGCGACATCATTGGCCAATGGATCATCGGGATTTGGTGCACTTAATAAAGCTTGAATCGATAATAAAATGGTACGTATTTGCAAAGCTGGACTCCATTTGTCCTTAAGCACATCCAAACAAATGCGACCCAAACGATCAATATTAGGATGATAGATTTTGGTAATGAAACGTACTTTGGGAGCTGACATCGGATAATCTTCGGGCAAGAAGAGTTCCAACTTGAAAACGCCACCCTCGAAGGGTGAATCAGTGGGTCCCGTAACAATCACATGAAAATATCTAGCATTATTTTCATCGGGTATGGCGTTAATACCCGGTACGGGCTCTTGCATAAGACGCTGAGTTTCTTTGATAATACGACGTGGCAGACTGGACATGCTGGTGATATTTGTATTGTTTTTTATTTTTTACTTATTTATTTATTATTTTTTTTGGATTTTATGTATTTATCTATTTATATAATTGGTAAGGGAATTTTAGAAATTTTTCTTTATCAGGCGACTTGTTTTTGGTCGTTGTTGTCTTTCATGCACTGTTGCAGTGACAACTAGCAGTAAAGTGAAAAACGCTAAAATAAATAGAAGAAAATGCAAAATATTTGACTTGTATTAAATCTCTTAATAATTCTCTTACTTTTAATAACGTTATAAGAAATAATATATCAATAAGTGAAAGTTAATCAACTGTTTGCATTTTCTTGAACAATACAAAACAACTATTATTTCCTTTTCCATAGGCAGCTGCATATAAAGTAAGAATATCAAATATCCAAAACGAACTATAAATTAAAAAATAAATAAGGTGTGTGCGCTTGTCTTTCTATCGTGACAAAAGGTTATGTTCATATTTCCTACAAACGTTAAGCGCTGCTCATAAAAATCTACAAGAGTACTTTAAAAGTTAAGCGAAATATTCCTCTCGAATGGATATGTACGGCATTTTGAAGGCCAATGACTGCGGAAAACACTCACACCAATGAGACACTTTACTGATGCACACCTATACAAATACTAGTTAATATGTAACGTAAATGCAAAACAAAGAATATTCCAGAGCTGTTTGGATGTGTGGCTGTGAGTTATTGAGTTTACTTAATTGTACACATGCATGGCTTTTTACAAAAAGTTTTATGCGTTCACGTTTATCATAAAGCCAATAAGGACAACATTTTGCGTAAACACAAACTATTCACAATCCTATATGTTTTGCTTTTAATCTTAATCTTAAATAAATGCTAATATTCATTAGCAACAACAATAAAATACGTCGTATACAGTTTTAGGTATTGAAAAATCAATAATATCGTTTTATTTTTTTCTTTTCTCAATAGAACCCCTTTACAAAGTAAATCTAATTAAGAGGTTGAACACCAAATTAAAAGGGTTTAAGAAATAGCGAAGAAATTTTGTTAATATTAAAATTAATTGTATAGGTAGCCAACAAACGTACGTTTTGTTTCTCTTTAAAAATTCTCATCGCCGAGAATTTCCACACATGTAGAAAAAACACCAGGTTTTGTCTAACAAAAGATTTTGACAAAAACTTTTAAAAAATCTTTGTCGACCATTACCAAAATTTTTACGTTAGTTATGCTATTAGGTGTTGCGGCACTTACCACTATTAATGGTGGATTTTGTTTTATTATTTTCGCCGCAAAAATGAAATAAAATATAATTGAAATTTTTTCACAACGAACGCACCACAATTTTTTTCTTTTTGTCTTTCTCCTGTATGCTTCCTCTTATTTTTTTAACATATCAGTGTTGTAAAGCGTTATTATTATCGATATAACGCAGACTGGAAAAAATTTTATATTACATAAAATGGTATTAATTTTTATATGCACTCATCTCAAATAGGTAAGAAGTTTGAAAAATTTTCGACATCTCATCTAAAACATACTTTGTCTGAATTTAGCGTTTCAAAAATGTCATCACTTAAGGCGTAAATTGTAACGTTGTTATACTGGATGTAACCTTCAACAAAGATGTATAATAGTCTTGCTAATAATAAAGATTTCCAGCAAGCCAAAGGAAGACTTCAGTCAATAGTTTAAGAATAAGGTTTACCTTAGTGATGAAAACACTGTCTGCAATATTGTCGACCACTATTATTTTAACGTTTCTTAAATTCAGTGTTCTGACTTAATAATACATGAACATTACAAATGAAGTACGTCGCCTAGCTAAGATTAAGTTTTCATCGTGCTTTGGTATAAATTATATATATGAGCAATACACGTGAACCACATGAACCAAAACGTTTCTTTTTTTTCTATATTTGTCTTTCCTTTTCAGAAATTAATGAATACGTCCTGAAGCTAAAAAAGCTTGTTGTATCAAATATATCCAAAACTACGCTATATATGAGATATTACCTAAACACCAAAACTTATTGATGTGGATAAACCGCTAATTTTTAAAGTCAGGAGAATATATTGATATATGATCTCAGCCATAGACAAAGTTCGTAGTTTTTAGTTCCATAAGGCACAGGGGAATATGGATAGATCCCATTTTTTGTGTAGTTTCCACGTCATTTCCTAACTAGTGAAATAGTGAATTATTTTTGACGCTAATAAAAAATAAACTTATAAACGATTGATGTTTAAATAATAGATAAATTGAAATAAAACGAAATAAGTAAATTGCTTGTAGGTATTATTTTATTTACTGTGATGTGCTATTTTACACTCAAGCTTACTTGGAATTATCAAATTGGTTAACCCGAAAAATTAACATTTCATTATCAGCACAATTAACTGCATTTTTAGAAAATTAATCATTAATTTTATTTACGTTCAGATGTATTCTCTAGAAATGCTTAAGTCAGTTTATATATTTTTTCTTGCTTTACAACACTAATTAAGAGTTTTTTCAAACTTACCGAGGAAAAGAGAAAAAGAAAATGTTTTATGTATTTTGGTACAAATTAAAGTGAGATAAGCATAATGACGCTTTCTTATTGGACTTTCAAAGCAGTGAGCTTTTGTATGCATTTGAAAGCATTCATAACATTTTTCGTTAAGATTAAAATCGAGTGCGAACGTTTAATAAATAAGAAATATATTGAAAAATTTGCCCAATGGTATAATTAATTAAACGTTTATTTTAAAGTTTTACATAAAAGAAAAAATAAATACAATGACTATGAGGGGGAAAATTGTTAATGGTAAGATTAAATCTATAATGAAGGACGCAACGAATAAAATTAGAATAAAGATAATAAGAAAATTGAAAAAACATTTAATGGAAGTTATTAAAATATTTACATAATTTTTACGACTTCGTTAATTTTACGGGTATGTGTATTACAGGTAAGCAGATCTACTTATGCCCGCTTAATGCAAAGAAGTCATGAAGAAGATGATAAAGAGGGATTAATTATGACACATCTCCTTGATAAACACTACATACCGCTGCATGCATTTGACGAAGTGCAACATATATGATGATTTCGATATGCTAGTCTTTACGCGGTCGTTAGGGATCTGATATTTATCTGTTATAGAATTCACACTCCATGTATTGAAGCCGTTAGAGTAAACTTCAAATTTTTGTAGAATTTTTACAACTGTTAGGTGAGGTTTATAAAGTTAGTAGTTTTAAAAGTGACTGCGTCAAAAAGATTCTTTATAATCATGGACTCAGTCTTCATTAGCCCATTTCTTTATGGTATACAATTAGAATTCGTGCACTTCTATAATAAGCTTAAGTTTAGGTCTCCTTATTTAAAGATTATGTATGCGTCGTGTATTGTCGTGTTGTACAATTCCAATCCCAAATTTTGGAATTATGCACGTAGTTTGCTTTCTATATAAAATAACTGCTTGGTCAATATACACAAAATGACTTGCTGCTGCTATTGCTATTGATTCGTAAAATTTTTAATGGCCTCTCGCTTGCACTTAAAGGCCTCCTCATAAAAGGCATTGATGTTTATTTAGTTATACTCAAGCAAACATTTGGTGCTTGATACACACATATGACTTTTCATATAATTCTGTATAAGGCACGTATAAAACATGTACATGGACACACACATATGCGGCAGGGAGACGCAATCGAAGCTTAACGTAAAAACTAAATAACAGCTACGGCAGAACCAACAACAGCAGCTGTGTGTGTGTATCAATGCATTTCGTTTTATTCTCTTTAACCGATAGCAGTTGTATTTGTAGTAGCGTTGCTAGTGTGATTGCCATATAGGCTGGGCGCACTAAAACAATGTCCCAGCCCACTTTTTTATGTAAAACACACACACACACACACGCACGCATACACCGTCAAACACAACACTTACTCAAACTAAACGACCACTACGTGTCTTGCAAGTAAGTGCGAATAGTTGTGTATATAGAAATGCATATTTATATAAATATATGAATACATATATATATATATATATATATATATATATACGTGTACATATGTATATATATATATTTATAAATACTTATGTGTATATTTATATATATAGATTTTTGTGTGTGTTTGTGTTTGTGTGTGTGAATGTGAATACGTTTGCCTATGATTTTAATGGTGTATGCAGTAGAAACGCATGTAATATTGTATTCTTGTTTTTGTTGCAATTGCACGGGGAGAGTTCAAATTAGAAGAGAAAGAGAGAGCGAGAGAGAAAGAGAATGGGAACCTAAAACAATACGTTACAGTACGCGAGCGAGTATATACTAAGCTACTTGCCTGCATAGTAGGCGTGTGTATGTGCGTGCGTGCCTATCTGTTCACTTAAATAAATAATAAGAAATTCAAAGAAAAAATGGAATGATATATACACGTCCAAATGTATAATATACATGTATACTTAATACACTGGCTTTTCATATTATACACTAAAGATATAAAAGACAAAAAATTGATAAATAAATAATAAAAAAACAACAGCAGCAACAAAAAAAAAAAAATGCAATTAATGCAGTTTAACTCACACCTTAATGGTTGCCAAACTTTTACTAGCACTTTACTCTCTTCTATATATCGTTGTTCGCTCTCTTTCTCTTTCTCAGTTACTCTCTATCTCACTTGTTTGTGTCAATAGCTTAGTTTAAGTAGTAGTTGTACATTGCGTAGTAGTACTGGCATTAACTAAATAACGATAAATAGATAAATCGTCCTCCTCTTTTGCCAGAACACACTATATATATATATATATACATGCATACACTATATATATACGTACATATATGCATACATATATATATATATATATATATATAGACGACAATAAACCAATACCAGGATCTCTGTAAACCACCCTCAGCAACATAATTACGTCACGCAATATTTTCAAATGTTTCATTTTTTAAAACTTTTCCAGTGAAATGAACGAAAAACCAAATAATAAGAAAATTCCCTACCTTGTGAGAGAGAGAGAGAGAGAGAGCAGCGCTATTGCTTAATATTATATTTACAACCCTTGAGAAAGAAAGTTTAATATTTTATTTATTTATTTAATTAATTATTTTTTTTTTTTTTGTGTTTTTCTTCGTATTAAGAATATTTCCCTCATATATGAATATTTTATGTTTATTAATTTTTTTTCTCGATTTCGTTGATGTTTAATTAAAATTGATAATTTTGTTGGAAAATATGTGAAAAATGAAAAGAGCAAAACGAACTTAATCATAGCTAAAGAATTTTTCAACTTACTTTTAATGGCCGACATATTCATTGTTATTGTTGCTTGTTGTTGTTACTATTATTATTATTATTATTATTATTATTGTAGTAATATGGCGCTTGGCAAACTTCCTGCTTTGGCACACTTAACTATTAAATGAACAGAAAACTATTTCAAGGAAAACTTCTTTTTCTTCTTTATTCCTTTGTTGTTGCTATTGTTGCAATTGCTGCTGCTGCTGCTGCCGCTGTTATTCTTGCTGTTGTTGTTGTTATATATATATATATATATATAAACTTTTATATTTCTTTGTCTATATGCATGTGTTTGAAAAGTTTGTTCCCATCTTGCGAAGGATATATGCACGTCTGTTATATATTGCTCTGTGTGTGTGTTTGTGTGTGTGTGTGTGTGTGTCGTGTGCGTGCGTATATGCATTTCACCAAGTGTTTGTTTATGTTCATGAATATTTTCCGCCTTGTATTAAAAGTTTTCTCAACTTGAAAATACGACACTTTCATTTTCATTCTCATCTGCTTATATATGCATAGATAAAGGTATACGAATATATTTTTGTACATATATATATGTTTGTAAATAGGTATGCATGTACATTTAGTGAACAATTTACACTTTAAGAAATGTCTGATTATTGAAAACGAAAAAGAAAACAAACAAATAAATAAATAAAACGAACGAATTTCACTTGCGGGAATGAAATTTTCAAATACGATGCTATGGATTTGGATCATGATTGCATTAAGAATTCACAGACGAAGATCGGTTAGATCGAATAAACTTTATCTTTGTTTGTTCATTAAATGCGGACAAGCAATTGAGGATTGAATGCGATCATCGAACTGTTAACGAATACGCCAGACTAACAGACGGACTTTACCATTCCGAAAAGAAAAATGATGATCTTCGCATTTTGT